GATACATAGATACATTTTTAATTAAACTGCGACTATTATTTATTTAAAAAAAAAATATTATAAAAAATAAGTTATTTTAAATTAAATATTATAAAAAAAATAAAAATAATAAACATATATATTTTTGTTGTCACTTTAAAATTCCCTTTTATTTCTATTTTAAATTTTTTAAAGCAAAAAATAATTTGTATACAAATGATACATATATGAGACATTCTTTTACAAATCGTACACCTATTTTGACTTCAGGGTTTGGATTCGCATAAAAAATTGTTTACCGCTTCTATTCAGTAAATAAGCAGATACGTGTATCAGGTTTTCTGTAAAAAATTTGTTTTTTCAGAGATATATTGATATTAAGTTTTTATGAATTGCGATAAAACGATGAATTCTCTTCTACATAAAACCCATTATCTCCGGTTCTACTGATCGGATCGATTTTGTTTTTTTTTTGTTTTAAACCTTATTGAATAGGCTTTTCAAATAAATAAATTTTTTTTAAGTATAGGGAGTTAATAACATTATTTTTTTAAACTAGTTTTTCATGTTTGCCCCCTCTATAAAATAAAAGGAAAAAAATACTATTTTATGCGCTTTTTCTTTATCTACAAAATACATTTTTCAGAACAGTGGAGACTCTTTTGGATCGGAAGATATTAAACATTTTCGAGCGCGTGACAGGACTGTCAAGCGCGTAATATTCAAACGTATTAGTGCATGTGGCGGGTGACGTGATATTTTGTATAAGAGTGCCATGATTCGACATCTTTTAATTGGTGACTTATTTGTGCAAATGTTAATTCTGCCAGTTAATAAATTTACTCATTAATTTGAGTTTGTATTATTTAAAATTTAATTTATTTAAAATTATTGAAAACCTTTAAAATCAGAATTAATTTACAAAAAGCGCTGGTATTTTTTTAAAACGATGATGAGTTTACACTATCCTAAATGTGTTAGCGTTTCGAAGATGTCTGATTAGGGGGTGTCCATTAATTACGTGAGTCAATTTTAGCGATTTTTTGACCCCCTCCCCCCTTGCTGAAATGTCGTGAGATTTGGCTCAACCCCCTCCCCCTAATCTCACGTGAGATTTTAAAAAATGCTTATTTTTAATGTTTATACGTTAAACTGCTTGATTCTGTTGGATTTATTAAAAAAACATACTTTGTTAAAAATTACGTGATATTTGCCGAGACCCCCCTCTCCCTTACGTGAGAATTGATGAGATTTGGCTTGACCCCCTCCCTCCCCTAAACGCCTCCCGTAATTAATGGATGCCCCCTTACGGCTTGTACCGGTCACGCGCTCGAAAATATTTAATATCTTCCGATCCAAAAAAGTCTCCATTTTTTTGAAAAATTCATTTTGTAGAGTAATAAATAGTGCATAGAACAGTATTTTTTTCATTTTTTTTCATAGAGGGGGCAAACACAAAAAATCTGTTTATACAAAAAAAATATTTTTTTCATATAATAAACAAAACACAAACTTTTTAAATATTTATCTAAAAAGACTATGTAATATGGTTTAAAATAAAAAAAAATGAAATCGATCCGATCAGTAGAACAGGAGATAATGAATTTTAAGTACAAAAGAATTCAGCATTTTTTTAAATTTTATCAAAAGTTTAAATCAATATATCTTTGGAAAAATAAATTTTCTGCAAAAATTCCCCCTAGGTCGGCTAAATTTATGAAAAGATGCTGTAAAATAAAATTAGGTCATTTTAAAAATTTGAAAAAATATGTTTTCTGTAATCCGTGAATGTCTCATATGTATCATAAAGTATCTAGATACTTTTTGAAGGTAACTGTATCTATAACTAGTTACTGCAATAAAATATGTATCTGTATCTGTATCTAGTTACAAATTTTGGTAAGTAACTGTAACTGTAGCTAGATACTGAAAATATTGTAACTGTTACAACACTGTTAATTAGTAAACAATGCTGATACTAATTCAAATAGTAGAATTTTTACTATTTCATTTCAAGAGAGTAAATAACGATATTTGGTAAATTATAATTATATATATAATATAAGTAGTTTAAATTAACTTAAATTGACTTAAGAGTTAAAAAGAAGTTAAAAAAGGGTAAAATAAACCAAAAACTATCAAATATTAACTTCTTTTTAACCAAAGTTAACCAAGAAGTTAAGTTTAACTATCATAACGTTAATTTTACCATAATTAAATTCCCCACTTATTACAAAATAACGTTAATTTAACCAGTGGTGCTACTTGGGTAGTAAGTATTTAAAAAATGTAAAACAGCTTTAATTCCCTGTAGTTTTATGTAAGGCATTACACCGCGTTATTACAAAGGAAGCCGATGTTTTATAAAATAATAAAAACAGTAAAGAATATACGATTCTCTACCGTTCTCATAATTGTATATAGTTTATTTGCTTTATTTTTTGGAAAAATAAACCATTTGGTAACATTTTTTTTAAGTTGGTTGGGGACAATGCGCCTATTTTTTTGTGGCGCCTAAGGCAATTGCCTTGCCTGCCAAATGGGTAATATGGCCCTGACTTGACCAACAAAAATTAAATATGTGCAATTTTTGTTCGATTTTAGTTGATCAACAAAAATCGGTCAACAAAATTTGCCCGGTGAGAATACGCCGCGGCCAGGCTAATTGCTGATGATGTAACAACTAATTTTAATATCTCCAAGAAGACCTTTTGGAGATGATGGTATTAATTTGTAGACTGTAATTATAATACATGCTCAGATAGATCAAATGTTTTACACACAGTTCACTTTATCGAAGAAAATACTGGCCTCCACGTAGCTCAGATCACAATTCAGGGCCTGTTTATCAATGTCCGGGTAAGTTGCAGTTAGTTGTATGACAGATAATTTCCATGGATACCATTATTCTTACAAAGATCGATATGGAATTTAACTTTCAGATAGACAAACTGGAACTTAACCAGAGATTGATAAGCCGGCTCTTAGGGCCGGTTTATCAATGTCCAGTTAAAGTTGCAGTTAGTTATCTGTTAGATAATTTCCATGGATACCATTGTTCTCACAACGATCGATATTAAATTTAACTGTCAGATAGACTCACTGGAACTTAACTAGAGATTGATAAACCGGCACTTAATCGAGCAATTGTTAATTATATAACGAGGCTTAACATTTACCAAAAGGGCATTATAAAGGGTTTTTCAATAGTGACATAACAATTTTGTTTATAAATAATTGAGATATCGGGGACAAATTTATTCCAGGTGTAGTAAACAAATTACAGTTATTTATGGAACTCGACGTCGTTCATATGACCACCACGAGCACGACGTCAGCGTTCCATTCTTTGGGTCCAATTTTCAATCCCTCTTTCACACATATCAGCCGGAATGTTGGCAATTTCCCGTTCGATATTGTTCCTGAGCTCCTCTAACGTAGTTGGATTGTTGCCATAAACCTTCGACTTAAGGTAACCCTATAAGAAAAAGTCCAACGGCGTCAAATAATATAATCGAGGCGGCCATTCGACTGGACCATTTCTCGAGATTAAACGATTACCAAATTTTTCTAAAGCAAATGTTTGACCATCTGTGTGGCTTGTGGCACCAGTGGCGTATTTAGGATTTAGCTCCGGGGGGGTCCAAAAAAACTAACTAAATATGTACTATGCTATGCTTTAATAACTATCTATTCATGGTATAGTTCTATTTCTGTTCGCGCCTCGATCATAACGACACGAGAAAGAGGTAGGAACGATATATCTACAGGGTTGCCAAACCACCTCTTTCTCTTTAATACGTAAGTAGTTGATTTTTGATTTTAATGATTTTATATTTAATAAATAATTAAGTACGTTGACAGTCTTGAGGTTTTTATTTTTTTTTAACTTTTTTTGTAATAAAAATAATAAAATATGTGCGCCCGGGGGGGGGGTCCGGACCCGGCGGACCCCTCCTAAATACGCCACTGTGTGGCACCATCTTGTTGAAACCACATATCGTTTATGTTAATTTCATTTAATTCAGGCCAAGAATTAACTTTCAACATGGCACGATAGCGAACTCCATTGATCGTAACATGGCGATTATTTTCATCGACGAAAAAATACGGCCATAATACACTTCCGGCATGAAATCCACACCACACGGTCAATTTTTGTGGATGCAATGGAGTCTCATGAAGCACATGTGGGTTTGTTGCTGTTCTGCTTATTGACAAAGCCAATCGGCCAAAAATGAGCTTCATCACTAAAGATAATTAAGATCTTTACACAAAATTCGCCATAATGTGGACTAAGAAATACCCAATTCTTGTTAACGGCGCGCCGTGGAATCGACTTGTTTGGTACATTTTGAACTTAAACCCTTACGGCTACAATATTTTCAGTACTTTGACCGATGGTTTGTCTCACTGGCACAGGAATATTTAATAGTGAATATGTTGATTTAAATTTATTCACCATCGCACGCACAAATTGTCTGGTGGGACGAATATTGCAACCAAAAATTGGAGTAAGCGCTCTTAAAGTTGCAACTATTGACTCAAAATTTGGTAATAAGTTTTAACGATTTCCAAACGTTGCTCGTTCGTGAAATTCACCATGATAAAAATGTAAACTTTGACTGACGTTTTAACATCATTAAAAGTTTGTAGGCTATGGTCCGTATTATAAAAAAAAATTGTTATGTCCCTATTGAAAAACCCTTTACTTTATATTAGTGTTTATTGTATTTATTTATAATAATTAGGGCTTTTTTATTATTGTTAAGAATGTAATGTAAATAATAAAATTCACTTAAAACAATTTTTTATCGGCGATTTCTTTAATATAATATGTATGCCAAAACACTAGGTACTTTGGAATATACCATATCATCGATTAATATTTATAAAATACTTGTAAATTAGAAAATCGGCTAATGAAAATTTTTACAATATGCAAAAAAATCAATGCAAGATTTCAAAAGTTTAGAGTGTGGTTTATAATATAAAATATATTTGTTATTGTTCATTTTAAGGATTCTATGCTGCCTCCGTCACAAAGATGCGGCTACGAATGTGAAAAGGATGCCACTGGACCCGTGGACAGGAATCAACTAATTACTTACATTAATACACAGGCCTTAGAAACTCCCGATTTGCCTGAAAACCAGCCATTTGAATTGGGTAAAGTAAGAGGAAAAAAAGTAAGTTTTGTAAGAAATAATAACAAAAATACTTCATGAATTTATTTCAGTGGATACCCCCTGAGCCACCCATCAGAGAACAACAAGCAGATGAACAAGTTGCCATCGATTTGGGCAGTGAGTACGAAAACGCTTTAGCCAAAGCCTCGGACGAGGAGATCATCGATTTGGCTGGTAAGCAACTAAAATAAAATCTTTGTTCCTTTTATATTTATTTATATTCCGAGAAATTATTTTTGGAAATAATATTTTTAGAAGCCTTTACATTCAATTAGGCTCATCAAAACATGCAGCAAAAATCAATTTACAACACATATCGTTTAAATTTTCAATTTTAATGATGCAACACTTTTAGACCAGCGACGTTTGACAAATCGGTTTTTTAAAGAAACATTTAAATTTTGCGTCTGAGATCTCTACACTTTGTTACGCTTAGGAACAAAAAGGGGTCAAAATTATCTTTCCTGCAATTTTATTTACACTTTGGTTATTTATAAAATTTAACATTGCTTAGTAGGTAATTGACTAAAACAGTTGGCCAAATTTCTTTTATCATTGATATAGGTTTATAAGGGATATTATTTAAATTACAAAGTAATATCTACAGTGTAACCCATTTGTGTGACTCACCCCTGTAAAATCTTTATTTATTGTGCGATTTTAACAGGATTTGTTTTAAAGTGTAGATCTTGAAAAACTGTATTTTTGAAGCAAAAAACACCATATTTTTACAAAATACAAGGCCTACTATGTCAGTTTTTAAGAGTAAATTTTTAAGAATTCATATTAGCAATTTTTTTAAACAAACTCTAAGCACGGCACTGGATTCACCACCCCTCAAAACTACCATATACTAAATTTTATTGAAAAATTTTAAGAAAAAAAAGCACAATAATAAATACAAAAATTTATTTTGTCAGGTTATCCATGAAAAAACATTAAAATAAAATTAAAGTAATAGTAACATGGTACTATTTATTAGTAGAAGTTCAATTCAAAATTATAGTCACCCGGTATAATAATAAAAACATAAATACTTTTAATTTTTTTTATATAAAAATGCATTCTAATTTTAAATAAGTTATATTTTATATTTAAGAATATATTTAATATAAATTGTGCAAAAAGATATTTTTTAACACCAGGGGTGTATCTTAGAAATGAACAATATACAAAATGAACTTTTTTGGTTAAAATAACTTTTTACATCCACTGGTCAAGTCTTGCAACTAAAATTTTTAGTCACCCTGTAGTCCATAGTGTTAATATGCATAAGGATACTTCGTATACTCTAGTCTATATGTATAGAGCTATTGTTTCAAAATATTTTTCACATTTTATTTGTTTTTTGAAAGAAATGTTTTTAATTCCTAAAATAAGCATTTTACACCATGATATAAAAAAGAAATTCAAAATAAGGGATGAGAAAAGGTCATTTTTTTATAATAAATGATGTTTATAGATACCCAATTTTATACTAAACCTATGTTGCCTTGGTACGCCTTGGCAATGCTACTAAAACAGTTATTTTGTTTAAAAATAAATTAAGATGATGTTATTTATAAATTAAGATTAAATTATTTTTTTGTAAACATTTCAATAACCATTAAATGGTATGAATGTTAATCTCAAACCCAAAAATTGTACTTTAAAATATAGTAAATAACCTAATTAGGTTATTATAGTTAATATAGTAAATAACCTATTTAGGTTATTATGTTAACATAACAATTTATATTAAAAATAATCAATAACAACCAATAAATTCCAACTAAAGTGTAACGATTCACAATGGTCTGGGGAACCAAAGATGGCTATAGATTGACATCATAACTCATGGAGTCTATACAAGGACTCCGAACTTCATGTATAAAAAATCATCCTAAGATAAGAGGGCGCTGGTGTTCTGTTGATTGTTTGATTTGTACCGAAACGCTACCAAAACAGCAGACGTCAGTACGCATCGACAATCAGCGCCACTAGTGGTGAAAAAACAAGACCCAATTTGTTAGGGACCTGCATCTTTTTTCGACTTTTGGCCAGCTTTTAAAATTGAATACCCGTATTTGCGCCGTCACGAATCTATTTGCTTATTTTAAAGATGGCATGCGCGAATTTCGTCGTCACAAAATTTATCGCCTCAGAAAATTCGCAGTGACTGGGATCATTTTAACCATCGTCTTCAACGAAAAGAAAATTAAAATGGCACACGAGGGCACAGGATTATTTTGTTTTATTTGATTAGGGATAACCTTACCTGTAACCCAGTAAATAAATACAATCGCCAAAAACTAAGACGTCAGTTCTAGCAATGACTAAGTTTTTACTTATGGTTCGGAAAGGACAATAACATGGGTGACTTTGATGATAACCATGAATTTAAATCTAAACGGCCTTACCAAAATTTACTTATATCCCTTTTTACACAATAATGTTATCTACATGTCGACTAAATCCCACGCACGACTCTGATGTACACTATTTTTCTACTGTGTTATTTATATCATACTTTCCACCGATCGATATTAATTTATTTTTCCAATTATCCCAAAAAAATCAATATTTTACAACAAAAAAAAAAGATTTAATATGACATTTTTATTTCATGTTTTAGCTATACTGGGTTTCCACCAAATGATGAACCAAGATCAATATTATGCTTCCTTGTTGAACACTGGCCAACCAGTCGGTTTGGGATGGGATGGTATTACGAAATCTTCTAAACAAAAGATTTTTCCCAAAGAAGGGCCAAATACTACAGATATCTTAAAGGTTATTAGAAACGTGGAAGATGATGATAAAAACATGTTGGATGTGAACCTAAACAATATAAAAACCATCTCTGATGAAAATTTTGCCACCCTCTTTAAAGAACTTGCTGAAAACACGTATGTTACGTCATTGTCTTTGGCAAACACGGGTTTAACAGACCACATGGCCGAACAACTAATAGAAGCCATAAAGAAAAACAATACACTTAAAGTTTTAAATGTTGAATCAAACCAGTTGTCGCCAAAATGTATTGCAGCTTTTATTGATGCTCTTCTGGTTACAAAGTCTATTGAAGAGTTTAGAGCTTCAAATCAGGTATTAGACATAATTTAAGAAATAACACATTGTATATTTTCTTTATTTAGAGAAATTGTATAATGGGCAATAAAATCGAAATGGAAATAACAAATTTGGTAGAGAAAAACCCGTCTTTGGTGAGGTTAGGTTTGCATTTAGAATACAACGATGCCCGTGACAGGATCGCTAGGCATCTCCAAAAAAACATCGACACAAGTAAGATTTGTTAGCTAATACATTGAGAAACTTACTAAACACGCTGTCATAACTTGAAATGTAATAAAACCACTTAAAAAAATCAATTTGGAACCTAATTTTGATAACGATTTTACAAATTTGCGTTTAGTTGTATTTAGACTCCATAGATATGTTCTACAATATTTTTTTAACTAATATTTTTTTGGTAGATCGGCGAATATCAAAATATTTGATCACAATCGGTTCCAATAATAAATCAGTCACAATCACACGACAAGATTAAACGTAAGTCTTCACGCTCTAGTCAATTTTTGCCTTGTGTTAACTGCTTTTCCCCAATTTATAGATTTACAATATTAAATTTTTAAAAATAAGTCTAAAATAATTAGAATAGAAAAAAAATATTTTTATGTTAGTCCATCCAAATTTTTAAGCGGAAATTAAACTACCCAGTTTTCAGAAGTTTTTAACGCGCTTTGCAAAATCCGAAAAAAAAATTATATTAGTTAGGTACTTCATCTTGTCAGATTTTTTAAAAACTCCAACCCACAATTGTGACTGCGGTGACAATTTTTATGTTGTTTACAATTCTTGTGCTTTGGGTTTGTCCTGTTTATACAGACTAAATCGTTTTAAAAGTTGTGTTTCTTACAGAGACAAGTGTAAGCCTCAAATGAGGCCTTAAAGTGGTAAGGACAAACATTTCGATCCTCTTATGTAAAAAATAAACTTATTCTATCAGGCCGTCATCAAACTGTCCAATGTCAATTTTAAGGTTAACTAACCCACAATTTAACCATGTCCCACAAATTTACCATATGGGTTCTAAGTTAGAACAGAAAAATAATTTAATTTAAGACGTAACTTTAAAAGTTAATTAACTGTTTTTAAAAACACAAGTATCCTAAAAAGCGTTCACATCGTTGCGTTTAATCGTCAATTAATTTTTTATATTTTAATAATTTAATATTTCGACGCGATGACCGACCCAAAGGTGAGCCTACAAAATCAATACCCAATTAATCGGTCATCGCCGTTAAAACTGCATGCATGTATATGCACATTGTTGTGCAAGTTATCTATTTGCTACGTCACATTAGAATTTTGTTTAAATAGGAATTAATTTAATAAAACTTTCTCTTCTAACCAAAACCTGCCTATCATTCACATCTACCTAACTACCCTCGACATTCCCTAAACTCTACAAGAGTTTACATGGTCCTTCAAACCGGAGTAAACATTATAATGTTCATACAGTGATGTAATTTAAGACTTAATTTAACTTAATTTAATTTAATAGTTGGCCAACTTTTATCTTTTACATTAAATTACTTTATTTCAAGGTTATTTCGTACTAATCTAACCTATTTTGAGAGAATCTCACCTATTTTGTGTAAATGGTTTTAATAATAAGAAAATATTTCGACTGTAATTGAGGGGCTCAGTGCAAGAACCGGGTATCTCCATATTCGGAAAATGTTCAGGAGAAGAGAAAAACCTTGTTAAAAATTATTTTGCACAGTTTAATTTCTTCGGTATCTCCTGTATCTGATATATTTAGTTAACGCTAATGTGGATCTACACGGTTTGTGCACCGAACGATTTATATACCTAACTCAATTTTGCAAAAATTTGGATATACCCGGTTCTTGCACCGAGCCCCTCAATTGCCAAGGTAAACCATATCGTCACCTGAGAATTATATTGTTCTATCTGCATTTTTTTTTAATTGAGGTTAGTCTTGTTTTAAATCTTAAAAATGCATATTGTTCTATGTATACATATATAATTGGGGTAGAAATTGCACAGTTTAAGCCTTAAATAAATATTCACTATTCTTAGATGGTGTTTGGAAGTTTTAGAGGATGAAATATTCCAAATGAATATTCCTAGATTGAAGCGGATTATTCCCAGGCGATAGGGCATATTCATGGAATATTTTTGAACCTTCATTGAAGTCTGAGAAAATTGCCAGTTTGATGACAGCCCGGATAGAATATGGTTAATTTTTTACAAAAGAGTAGTAAAATGGTTGCCCTTAGCACTTTAAGGCCTCTTTTAAGGCTTACAAGTGCCTATGTAAGAAAAACAGTTTAAAACGATTAATATTCAAGGTGACAAAAAAAAGTTTTTAAACAATTGATTTTACGTAAATTTTAATGAGTTAAAATGTGTGCTTTGCAAAAATCTGCATAAAAATGTTCTTTTACAATATTAACGTAGGACTAGCAGTTCTCGATATAATAAAAAAAACTAGCACCTTTAACATTTAATATTTTCTTCCTTGTCTATAGACGTAAGAAAATATTTTTTTCAATGCACCCTTTGCTAAATCATATAACTAACTAACATTAGTATTTAATTTTCTTCCTTGTCAGACACGACTCGCTACTTTTGGATAAAGTAACGAGTTTTTTGGACAGAAATAACCTCAAATGAAAGGTTTTCTCACTGAGCTGAAATGTTTTGAACCTGATGTAATGGAGTCATTCTATTAATGGAGTAATTCTGAGAGTCGGATTCTGAGAGTCGGATTCTGTTGAGTACGTTTAAAAACTACGAACTATTATCTCGTTTGTGGTTGGTTATACCAACCGACAAATACATAAATGTATTTCTTAGCCGCTGTTATTATAAGAAAAATGTATTTGTTAAATGCATTATTGTTATACTTTTTATTTAATTACATTGTTTTATCTATAAATTGGTAATAGTTTTTCCATCATCACCAATATCATTGCTTAGCTTTTTTCATTGAAATTCTGTTTATCCAACTGGAAAAAAATGGTACCGAAATTCCAAATCTGTTTATGTTGTTGGGTTAGTGTGAGTAGAATATATATATGGAGTATTTTTTATAGATGTTAATATTTCTATTGATTTTCGGAAATAATCCTTTACTATTCTCAAAAATGTGTATGTATAATAACTAATTTGTATGTGCCTACCTTTTATGTCTGTCTATGTTGTGTTGTAACAAAGTAAACCTTACATTGATGCAAATGGGTGAAAAAAATCATTTTTTTCATGTTTTATTTTTAATTTAAATTAAAATTAAGATTTTTGTATTTATTTGCATTTAACCGTAGTTACAGGGCTAGGCTGTATGCAATGTGCTTGTATTATAATATATTATATTATGTAGGTATGTAAAAAATAACATTTTAAGTATATAATCTACCTCACAATACTAGACATAAAACTTAAAAAAGCCAATACATTTACATAAAAACGTACATTAATACTAATTAAACCTTAGACAAGAAAAGAGAGTAAATGCCTAATCGGAAAGGGGAAAAGTTGAAAACTGAACAGCACTGTTTTTATTATACATGAGATCTTTTTAAACGGACCGCTTATTTGTTTATTTAGAAACTGGTTTAACAGATACTGGTTAAAATAAAAAGATTTATCAGGTATACCTTAAAAAGCGAATTGTAATAATAAAGATTTTTACTTGTGAAGGTTATTCCAGGGTGTTTATTATCGTCATTATAACATATATAACTTATACAACCCTGAATAAACCACCATTGTATTTTAACAAAAACACACACAACAAACTTGTCGGTTCAGTTTTTCAACACACCACTTCAATACACAACAGTAGGCGTTACGCGTCCACTACTTTATAATGTCTGAATTAAACAGTAAACAGTATAAAAAACGTGTATTAAACATAAACTAGCTTTATTGCTTTAAATCATTTTATCATTCGTATTATTACCAAGTTATATCCAACTTTATTAACTGAATTTACTTTTTAGTTAGAAAAGAAACTACAATTCAGTCTAGATTTAGACTTTATAGTTACCGTCCAAGACCCCGTATCAATTAAAGGTAGGTATATAATAGAAAATATTTAAATTAAAATATCAAACATTTCATTTTAGGTTGTCGGAAAGAATTTCACAAATATTGGAACTTACTCAACTTTTATTGTATTATATTAACCTATTAACTTTATAGTTTGTTTTAGATTTAATGTTGTATATATTTAAATAAATTTTCATGTACTATTACAAATCTATTTCATTTTAATCAGTAAAGGTCCTGTTCGAATTTGGACCGTATAAGATCAACCTAATATAGGGGGAAGCTTTTTCTCTAAGTAATTCTATCCTTGCCTCGAATGTATTGCAAACTTTAACAGTGTCGGAACTTCCATAGACTTCTACGCCGCCTAAGCGTGAATCGGGTAAAAATCTTTTTGGGTCCACATCAGCTTTAGTTTCCAAACCTGTCATTTCCTTATACTTTTGTTCAGCTTTTGGAATAACTTCTTTTATGACATCCTTATCTTCTTTTAAGATTCCCAAAGTCACATTTTTATCCAACAATGCTAACATTCCTTGTAAGATTAATTTCTCCAAAATACCTTTATATACTTCTACATCCTTATTTTTTTTCTTCAGCTTCTGTCCAACTTCCTTTAAAATTTCATTTATACTATGGTCTTTAGAAGTAAGTATTGCTATTTTAGCATTGCTCTTTAACTGAGAATAGGCAAATTTTAATTGTAAGTCTAAGTTTTTTTCCTTGTTACCGTAATGATTTAAAATGGCCAAACATTGGGTTTGAGTTTGTGAACCCTTTTCCATATTGTACTCCTCTTCGATTTTTGAATCGATATCTTTAATTTTATTTTGTGCATCATTTTCAATGTATAGAATATAACGGTTTATTCTTTTTTCGGCTTCTATATTATTCATTGTCAAAGAAATATTAAAGAAACGTCAATCAAATAATGTCGTCAGCAAAAAATATGGATGATGTTCAAAGACAAATTAATCATATGATTGCTTTTATAGAACAGGAAGTTATTGAAAAGGTTGAAGAAATTCAATCTAAAGCTGAAGAGGAATATAACATTGAAAAAGGATCGATCATACAGAAACAAAGACTTAAGATTATAGAGTTTTACAATAAAAAGGAGAAGCAATTACAGGTTTTGAAAAAAGTTCAAAATTCGCACATGAAAAATACGGCTAGGTTACAGGTTTTGAACTCAAGAGAAGAGTTTTTAAATAAGGTTTTTGATGAACTAAAGGAGAAATTATCTAAAAAAATTGAAAACGAGATGCAGTACGAAACAATTTTAGAAAAGTTTACTTTGCAAGCATTATTAAGTATTTTAGAAAAGCATGTTACTATAAAGGTAAAACAAAAAGATAGAGAACAAATGAAAGCTTTAATTCCAAAGATTCAAAAATTGTACAAAGAAAAAATTGATTGTAATGTTACAATTAATTTGGATGACAACAATTTAGGTGAAAAGTGCCTTGGGGGAGTGGAAGTGTATGGTCTTAAGGGACGGTTAAAAATTACGAACACTTTTGATGCTAAAATACAGATGCTCAAAGAAAAGGCACTACCCTACATGAGACTAATTTTATTTGGAGATAACCCCAATAGAAGATTTTTTGATTAAAATTGTTAACAATTTAGAAATTGTTCATTGTTAATTAGTAAAAAGTGTTTTTTTGTTTAAATTATTTAAATTAAATACCTATGCAATTGTTTTAAGTGGTGATTTTAAGACAAATTGCGAAAAAAGGCTTAGTTTTATTTAAATAATTATTTTTGTGTATATACAAAAAAAATTTTATTTACAAAAGTGCTCTTTTAGTTCCACCCTTACTTCTTAAGAAGTTCCATAAGCCAACTGAATGGCTTGTGCGGGTTAGGGGTAGGAACGGACCGCGGGCTTAAAGTCCCCTCCGAAGGACTAATACACAATAGGACAAACACAAATAAACAGCCATACCCCTGGTGGGATTCGAACCCACGACCTCCGGCTTGTAGTTAGCAAATCAAATCAAAAATATTTATTTATGTTATTGTAAAATATAATAAATTGTAAAAGTAACTTCAAGTATATAAAGGTGTATAAATAAAATGAACAAAACAAATGTGCCTGGCACGTAATGTTCATCATAAAGGAGGCCACTATATATACGTTATAACGCAATATAGCAACCCCCCTGGCCGATGTTTTGGCCTACCTGAAATCATGATACAATTTGAAATTGTCTCGCAGCTCGCCATTCCCTTCGCTCATCCGATACAGGGGCAATATTGTTTAGATGTTTTATGTGTAAAAAATTAGAGACTGTCAGTTTGTGCTTTTTATAATTTATGGTATAGTCAGCAGCACTAACCACTAGACCACCGTCGGCGATGTATGGTCTAAGGTACAGTAGAAACCACTAATATATGAACGTGACTCATCGGGTGCCGAACATATCTCAGACATGCTAGCAGTAATGTTTTACTTGTCTTGTACATTCGATGCAGCGGTAAATGTACTCACACGTAGGTTTTTAAGCACCCGGTCTAAAATGCGCCATCTGTGATGTAAAACTGCCTAGGTGTTGGACAAAGATGGACATATGACGCGGGTCCTAGCTTGTTACTTATATTCAGTAGAGTTCGTGTTTTAGGCATTTATTTTATTTTATTACATAGTAAGGCAACCAACTTTACCGTCGGCCATTTGTTTTTATATGTCATATGATCTTTGTTTTTGCATATCGTGTTTCTACTGTGTGTTTACGGATTAATAATCGTTTTAAACGTTGTAGTGGCAGTGGTTTATATTATGTAACACAGGTAGATGTCGTATAAAAATCCTTACCTAGAAATTCTAGGCTAGAATACAAAAATATTTTTATTATATAAATTTTGTACTAGTATTAATTTAATACATTCTGAAGAAGCTACTGTGTAGCGAAACAATTGTCAATATTTAATAAATTTCGTGAAACTAACGCAAGTTGTTTTTATATCCACACAATTTAAATATCTTTCACTTTGTACCTGACCTGCGTAAACATTTTTGTTTTTTGTCACCAATTCTGAAATATTTGCGTTTACAGTTAAAAGAATAGTATATTCTGTAACAAGTTTGACGGTTTCACGAGAGGGGAATATGCAATTCCAAACGTGTTTCAGACTATACTTTTTCTACGTTTCCAAAAAATACCATAGACAAAGAATTTAATTGGAAGAAAGTGAGGTTGGATCGGTCTAAAAATTTGTTATTAAAATCAGAGATGTCGCCACGAGTGTACGTTCTGTCATCAGATGATAGAATATTTCATTAAAGTTAAAAGAAAAGTTTATTTATTAATTAGTCTCTAAGAAAATTACATTTTATTTAATTATCGTAGATGTTAGATGTTAATTATTTAACTTTAAAAGCAAATATATCATAAGTATAGCAACCAACATTACACTCAAGATTTTTTACAAACGGGACTGCACTGGACCGTGACCTTCGATAGATTGCTTTGTACGAATGTGTCGGATGAGTCACGTTCATATATTCGTGGTTTCTACTTTATGTATCTATTATCTCTGGTATTATTCTGCCGTGCTAATATCTGCAATATTAAGTAATAAAGGACAAAAGATATTTTTTATTGTTTTTAACAATTAAAATTATCTTTTCTTCTTTACTACATAATTAAAGTACTAAATTAAAGTACATAATTGGATAGCTTTTATCGAAAAGGAACCAAGCGCCAAAAGCTTTTTCTTTGGTAAACAACATTATTTGCAAAATAACTCATTTTTAATGCTGCTCAAAAAACTAATAATGATTTTTTCGATAAGCGTTATCCAATTAAAGTATACTAAACTTTAAACTATTATCTAATAAGTGCTAAAACGGCGTGCCATACATACATACATAAAGTAACTAGGTAATAATAAAGGACAAAAAATAATATTTATTGTTTTTAACAATTAAATTTTTAATTTAATTTAACAGAAATTTCTAGTTATTTATTTTAACCCAAAACAATTGATAGTCAAAAAATATTTTAAATATTAAATGCAACTGTAAAGTAAAAAAATATTGATTTTTAAATATTGTAGTTTTAATATTTTATCCTACATAATTATCGGATTAAGTTTGTAGTAATTTAAATGATAGTCGATTTAATTAAAAAATTATCACATTGCGTTTTAAATGTTTTAAATTTTAAGTTTGGATTAAAAATTTATCGAATATTATTTAATTGACTCTTGACAAATTTAAACCGATAATTTGTATTTTTAACAATTTTAAATAAATAAATTTTTAACACAAAATTTATCCGATTACATTTAAATATAACTTATATTATATAAGTCGATAATTTTTAATTTACAAAGTGTAACTTAGCTTTAGCAGACGGTGTACGCAGCATACTTCGGAAGAAACCAAATACTTAAAGAGATAAACTATTAGTACTAATTTATAATGGTATAACAGTACAAGACAACTGATTTTCGCTGTGGTATACCAGTACAAAACTTATTTTTGCCGTGAAGTATTGGTATCGCTAATGAGGCGATCAAATCTCTGGGATTGGTTTTGGTGGAGGATGGAGTGGTGTCATTTACACAAGTAAAGGATGTAATAATATTTGTAATAAGTAAAGGAATAATAATTTTGTTCAAATTTAACTCATAACGAACATAGGTATATACAAATTATATACATTTTAACTATCTAACTGTATCTTCCCACTGGAAAAAGTAATATTTCTACAATGTTACTGAACGTTACATTTTTTAGATGTAATGTTACAAAACTCCTTGTGGCAATGTTGCAGGAACATTGCAACAAAGCCTTATGTCCGGCTCAGGAACATTACATTTACAAATAAAATGTTGCTTAAATGTATTAATTGCAATGTTACTAAATGTTATTTTTGTTAATGTAAGGTTCCTGCAACATTACATTTGTTAGGTGTAATGTTACAAAAATCCTTGTGGCAATGTTGCAGGAACATTGCAACAAAGCCTTATGGTTCATGAACATTACATTTACAAATAAAATGTTGCTTAAATGTATTAATTGCAATGTTACTAAATGTTATTTTTGTTAATGAAAGGTTCCTGCAACATTACAGGAACATTGAGCCGAGCTCGAAGCTCGTCTCCCGAATGGTATGGTCCAATGACTAATGCACCATACCCACCAACACTGACAGACAGACTGTTTCGACCTGTTTGGTCTCATCAGTGTCAGGCACAGTGTTGCCGCAACCAAATATCTAAATGTACTAAAGAAATTTGCTAAAATGTACCCAAATGTACCAAATTCTAAATATGTACAAAATTCATATATAAATGCGTTCTGCTTTAAAAATATTAAGACAATAAAACAAACATTAGGTTTTTAGCAGTGGCGGCTGGTGGATTTTAAGTATACCAATATCTCAGTTATTAGACATGGGACCCACACCAAATTTATAATAGTTTATATTGACATTAAATAAACAAGTTCGGCGCAAACAGAATTTAAATTGAAGTTTGCGAAAAAAAGTTAGTTTTTCCTGTCGCCTACCCTGCCTCCAGGCCCCCCTATTTTAGATAATTCAAATTAAAGTGGTGCAATTTATTATCTACTATAATTTATCGCCAAATTTAAAATTTTATTTAAAAAATCCAAATATTACAGTTTTTATACCATTTTAAATATTTTTTTATTTTAATAAAATAAATAATAAAAATTTAAAATCGAATAAAATCTGTAATATTTGGATTTTTTGAATAAAATTTTAAATTTGTCGATAAATTATAGTAGATAATAAATTGCACCACTTTAATTTGAATTATCTCAAATAGGGGGGGCTGGAGGCAGGGTAGGCGACAGGAAAAACTAACTTTTTTTCGCAAACTTCAATTTAAATTCTGTTTGCGCCGAACTTGTTTATTTAATGTCAATATAAACTATTATAAATTTGGTGTGGGTCCCATGTCTAATAACTGAGATATTGGTATACTTAAAATCCAAAAGCCGCCACTGGTTTTTAGTATAATATAATAAAATTTATATAAAAAACAAAAACTTTTTCAAATATAAAAAAATACAAAACAAAAACAATTTATTTTCAAATCTAAAAAAATATGCGAGGTCAAATATCAGTGGTCTAAAGTTTAGACTCTAAACTATACAAACCTATTTCAATAAAAAATTGATATATTATCGACAAAATTTTAAAAAACTAAGGGAGAAAAAGTTTCTTTTTCATGCATTTTTTATTACTTACTAAAGAAATAAATTATAATTCATATTTTAAATATAGCAACCCAAAAAACTGAAAGTATTAAAAAAAAACAGTTTTTTGACAAAATTTTTGACAGATCTACATGGAAAATTTTCATTTTACTTATTTTTGAATACTTTGTTGGTAAGTATTTTTTTAAAAAATGTTTTAAAGTTGTTCTATTTTTTTCGTTAAAAACGGTGTTCGGTGAACCGTGTGATGTTTGTTAAATATTCATAAAGTTGAACATTAGGAAATTCAGTATTTCAAAATGTACCCGATTTAAGGTTATTTGTGGTAAAATGTACTTGTGTACCATGAACGAAAAAATGTACCCAATTGGGTACAATTGTACCCAAACGGCAACACTGGTCAGGCAGTCGGTGAC